GTTGAGTAACGAGCTTCATTAGTTTTTAACAGGGCCGGACTTAGGACTTCAGAGGCCCCGGGCGAATTTGCCGATGGGGCCCCCAGTATGATTATACGAGAACATATACGGTACACAATGTAACGCATTTACATGCACACTAATTTCAAATAGCTAATTTCAAGGTGAATTAATATGTAAACCTGTTGGAATGCTGTATTTTGCACAAACTAATTGTATGTAATATTTTAAGTCTGAAAATAGCTACAATGTACGGTGTTATTTTATGATTTGTTCTTGTTGTAATTATTGTATTTATAAAATTGTAATATACCTAGCAGGTACCTTACACATTTTTTGCAATACATTAAAATGTAATATCCTTTGCAACAAATAATGAAAACTATAGATAAAATAAAAATAAAATAACACGTACTTGTAAAAGGTTTAATTTAATTTATTTACTGTAATACACATTCTATTTGGTGCTTGAATGAAAACTCAAATGAAAAATAACTAACATTAATTAATGGAATAAGTTATATTTAAACACGTGATGTAAGTCAGAGATAATGCATAAACTTTTAAAGCTTTAATATATTTTATAACTTACTATAATTTTACTAACAAACCTTTTACTGTACTAAGTTTATAAGATACAAGTCAAAACAATTTTAAAGTTTACTTTTTATAGATTAATCATTATAAAGTTTAGAACATAGTTATTTTCCCTATAAATAAATGTCACTTCCTACTCTGATACGTTGGTCACGTTGGCATGGCAATTAAAACCTCCTGCTTTTCCTACATTTCTTGGCTGCACTAAAACTATAAAATCATAAACTATGACTTATGTTTATTTTCATAGTGGTTTTGGCATGGAATTCTCGTTTGTATAATATGTTAAAAGTCCTAGCATGAAAAGTACCATTAAGAACTTTTACGAGTTTGAGTTTTTTTCTTGACGAGTAAAATGTTACAATACAAGTCTAATAACCAATCACAAGCTAACCATTTATATGAGTGAACTGAAAGATGTTTAAATGTATTCAATATAAATTAATACAACACAAACATAACATTCAATACAACATTAATTTGTTCTTTGTAGTGTTTGCAGAATTAATAATAAAATACAACACAAATGTATGATAATGTCAACCAAAAACACACTGGGAGTGATTTAAATTGTTTTGGATTGGTGATAAGGCATTGTATGTATGTGTATGCGCGTGCGTGAGACATACAAGACTAGACAGGATCCCTTATCAGCTCATTATCATTAATTGTTGCAGCTGCTTGTTGAGCGCTTTTTTACGATAACGCTCGCCCGCTCCCAAATAATGTAATTTTTGTTAACATCAGACGACCCTAGTTGTCATAAAATGTCTATATAGATTTTTTATCCTACTGGCGCTGTATGATTTTGACTCTTTGATTTTGATTTTGATCGACTAAATTGAAGATCCGAATTTCGACGTATAGCTTAATTACTATTTTATAAAACCTTTTAATTGAATGGGTAATATAATACTTCTGCCCCTTAAAATCGTGAATGGCATATACTTAGAGGTAAAAGAATAACATCTAATAAAACAGATTTTTCAAACAATGTTTTTATTTTTCAAAAGTATTAGATCTCAATTGAATCTCCATTTAACCCCAACACAATTGTACAAGTTACGTTCTACGTTAGGACAAGAGTTTTCATATTATTTATTGTATTTTTTGCCCCAAGCGAAGGGGCCCCCTTCAACTTGATCACCACGGCCGTAGGTTTGTGTGAACGGCTTCATTGAAACTCAAACTGGTCCGTCACAGCCTAGCAGCTATGCTCGTGTAAACTAGGTCTAAGCGCGGGGCCCAGTGCAACCCTGAGGTAAAGTCCCTTAGAGTCAAGAATTTTGGTCCTAGTAATACCTTAAAGTTCATCTAACAATAACCTTAAATATAAGATAACGACAATAAAGCTGTTAAAAAAGAAGATCATTCGGTAAGTGTCTGATTAATTTTCGAAGATATTAATAAAAACTACTGTGCAAGGGGCCCCTTCGGGGCCCCCCTAGGCCCGGGGGCCCCGGGCGCTCGCCCCGTCCGCCCCTAGGTAAGTTCGGCCCTGGTTTTTAAGCATTTAACAGCTGTTTCAGCGTTAAAAATTTCTGCAACTAAACTGTTTCTCTTGTCATTAGGAAAATTAAAGTTTAGGCCTTTGTTTAGTAGATCATTTTCTGAGTTACTGAATTCGATGTTAGTATTGTTTATGACTCTTGGATGGAATGTGTGATTACATTTTATTGTTTCTTTTACTAGTTGTGAGTCTAATAAATAATTCAGTTTCTTAGTTTGTGATTTCTTTTTTATAAATATTTTCTTATTTATTTGAGAATCTAGTTCTAAGAAAACATTGTTTTGCTGGGTTGGATGCAAACTGTTGATCGACAAACTGATTAGGAAACAAAGAAACAAGAAAAAGGATAATCAGATACATACAAAAGAACCCAAAAGATATGTTAGTGCGGAATATGGCATTGTACTTAATAATGTTCTCAAAAAAGAATTGGCAAAAAACAATATCACAGTTGCTTACAAAACCACAAACAAACTGTTCAGTAATTTAAAAGAAAGACAAACTGACAATAGCGACAAATTAAACAACACTGGAGTGTAAAAAAAAACATGTAATGATTGCCCCAGTTTTTATATTGGGCAAACATCATGCTCTTTTGCAACTAGATTTAAGGAACATTTACCTAGAAAGAACTCCAAATCAGCTTTTGCCAACCATATCATTGATTCAAACCATAGTTATACCGACATACAAACAAATTTAGAAGTAATGCATACTTGTCATAAAAGTAAATATATGGACACCATCGAGGAATTTGAGATTTACCGAGCAGCTAAAGTACATCCAAACCATATTTTAAACGAACAACTCTCATTCCAGTCTAACATTATTTATAATACCGCCATTCACATCCTGGAACAAGACCAAAGAAAAGGTTCTGATAAGAGAAGTGAGGATGGAGGGGCTACCGACTACGGCACACGTCAGTCATGACTTGTCTTCTACCGGCGCCGGACCCCGTGTGTAACGTTTTTAATGTATTGGCCATGTTTATAAATGTTTTTTTCGTACCGTTCGTGTGTTATGTGTTTTTCGGTGTGTTTTCAAAAATTGACGACCTTCACGTGAGGAAAATATTTTAACTTTTTGACCTTCACCTGATGATGTGCTCCACGAGCACGAAACTGCAGTAGTGACAGACTACACGCAAGGACCATATTGACAGAGGTAAATTAAACCATTATTATTGTTGCTGTATGGTCCAGAGGCTAGGCCTACCCATCATGAAATCAATATGGCTTTAGACAAAAATGTTCTTAACACCGCTCTAAGCCAACTGTGTAACTCAATCACTGAAATTTGGGAAAAAAGCAACAAGCGAATGGTATATTTCTGGATCTCGAAAAGGCGTTTGATAGCTTGGACAGAAGCATTTTAATTGAAAACTCAAACTTATCAACATCACCGGCAATGCACTATCCTGGATCCAGAGTTACCTAACAGACAGAGAACAACTTGTAGAAATAGAATACAACTCAAAAAACATCAAAACAAAATCAAGATCCAAACTTAAAAAAACCACCACCAGAATTCCTGAAGGGTCGGTCCTTGGACCTCTTTTTTTTCTTATCTACATAAACGCTCTTCCAACACTCCTTCCTGAGGATCACACCTGTATCATGTTCGCAGATGACACAACCATCATCGTCCCTGACAAACCAACAGAAAAACAAAGAATAGATGAAACAATACAAACCGCTAGCGAAATCTGCCAAGACATCAACCTAACCATAAATAAATCCAAAACAGTCCACATTAAATTCACGACCAACAATAGAACGGACTCAGACACAAAATCAACCAAATTCCTCGGCATAATACTGGATGAAAACCTAAACTGGCAACCACACCTTGAGACCCTCCATAAAAAACTATCAACGGCCCTGTTTGCCCTGAGAAGAATCAGAGAGATCACTGATACAACAACCAACAACAAACAAAACGGCATACCATGCGCTCTTTGCATCCCACTTGAAATTTGGAAATATAGCTTGGGGAGGAGCTGGCGAAACACACCTGACACAAATTTTCCTACTTCTGAAAAAGGCAATACGACTAATAGACAAGGCTCACTACCAAGCCCACTGTAAACCGCTCTTCATTAAACACCATATCCTGACCCTGACTTCTCAATACATCCTGGACACCATAATCCACACCAAACTAAATCCGCCCCCATCCTGACATGAATGCCACAAATACAATGTCAGATCAGGGAAGAATTTAAACCTTCAACAGCATCGACCCCAAAAAACAAGCAAAACACCCTCATACATGGGAATAAAATTGTTCAACCTACTGCCAGAAAATATCAAAACCATAAACAACAATAACACATTTTCATTTTATGTTGTTTGTTGTTGTTCCGGATCGGTATGACATACAATAAAAGGTTAAATTACCTGTGTCCGCCAGTCGATCCTTATGTGCTGTGTCCTATTACACATTATAACACATTTGCTAAAACCCTCAAAACCTACCTGTTAAATAGGCCTAGACCTTATTATAACCTGAATGAATTTTATGAGGAGCATAAATATCACAACAGAAACTGAATCCAACCTAAGACACCTAACAACACCATTTAGACACTCACACACACACACACAAAATAGGCTACAACTTCCCACATCAAGAACTGACGACTCTCCAGTCTCAACGATTGTGAAGAGGAGGACCCATGGTAAATGGTAAATGGTATCGATATTAGCATAGCCCAGTTAAGAAACTGTACCCCTTAATTTTGATGGGCCTAACTTAGATAGCCCAGAAGTAGGCTAGGCTAGGCATTAAGATAAAATATTAATAAATCACCAGGCTGTCATCGGCATAAAGCTTAACATTTTACAGTGTAAGCTTACAAGTAAAATCTTAACCTTACTTAAAATCTTACTTTTGATTTGGCCGCTTTCCTGAGCTTTTACTTTTCCTTGTACCACTGTGTAGGTAGGTAGATAGGCTATGCATCTGTAGGTCAATTCATAACTTAATTATTTAAAATTATCATTTAGCCTATGTGTGTTTTGAGCATTTTTGATATCGTTATTTCATTGTGTTTCACCCACTATTTAATTGAGCAAAAACAGTCTGGAAGTAGCATAAATTAATGAGTCGGTTCATAATAACAGGTAACCTAACCTTTACCTTCCTAATCTAACCTCACTTCAAAACACTTAACACCTTTCTTTCTGGCTCCATCGATTGTTGGTCTTGAACGTTCAATCCATAACTATTTATTTGTGTTCCTCGTTTTCATTTTTTGAAATAAATTCTTCTAATGCTTCAAGATCAAGATCACAAAGTGTTGTAAAAGTACCTCCATCAGTCCATCTTGCTTGCTTGATCTCAAATGGAAACGAGTAGAAGAAATAGTTATTTGTGCAACTAGTGAGCAATTGACTCACTCGAGAGAAATACCTTGCACTTTGCACTCGAGTAGCGCATTATATTTTTCTTACAGTTACCATAAAACAAATAAATTGGTAAAGAATCCTAACATATTTTGAAGTGAAACTTTGAAAGAAGTGAACTTGAACTTTCAAACTTTGAATATGACATTTAATGATACAACTTACAACTACAACAGTACAACACAACACTAAAACAAAACAGCTGACCAGCTGTTTTACAGCCAGTGCTGCCAACGCCAACGTATTTCGCGCGCACATATGACATTCATTGTCTGCATATTACGCGCTCACTATTTCGTCATTTCATGCCTTCACGTTGCAAATCTGGAGTGAGACAAAGTAATTAGAGTGAGACAATCATTGTCTCAGTCTCACTGATGGGCGAATTGGTCACTTTGCTTGCTTTCTCAAATCAGTGAGAGAACATGTACATTGTTAGGTAACTGTAGGAAATAGTTATTTGTGTAACTAGTGAGAAAAGTGAACAATTGACTCGCTCGAGAGAAATCCTTACTCACGAGCCGTAGGCGAGTGAGGAATGGTTTCTCGAGTGAGGCAATTGTACTTTGAACTCGAGTTGCACATTATACTTTTCCTACAGTTACCATAAAACAAATAAATTGGTGAAGAAACATAACCTATTTTTACACAGAAGTGAACTTTTAATATAACATTTAATGTGGAGTGACAAATACAACAGTACAACAGCTGACCAGCTGATTTACAGCCAGTGCTGCCAACGTATTTCGCGCGCATACGACGTTTCCTGCATGTTACGCGCTCACTATCTCGTGCCTTCACGTTGCAAATCTGGAGTGAGACAAAGTAATTAGAGTGAGACAATGTTAACATTGTCTCACTCATGAGCGAATTGGCCACTTTGCTTTCTCAAATCAGTGAGAGAACATGTACATTGTTAGGTAACTGTAGGAAAAGAAAGTAGTGCAGTAGTAGTAAGTCTAGTCATTCAAAATGGCTTCAGTTCAGTAACTGAAACTGGACGTTCTGTTCTGAAACGAAAGTTCCCTTTGTATTGTTTTGTAATACTGTAACTGCTACTGAATACTGGAACTGGAGCTGGAATGAATAAAATAAAAATCCGGCGATTTAGGGTTATATAATATTCTCAAAGGAATATTTGAGTGGAAATCGAGCCAGGTAAATGAAAATTTGCATAGTCTGGTTGCTGCAGTAGGAGTATTTTTATGTTATGTTCATATATTGGTGAAGTTTGAATGTGCTGATTTCGAAATGTTTATCTCTTATTTTAAAGTAGATTTTGCTATTTGACTTTCCTATAGCCTATTCGAGTTATATTTTAGCCGACCTATATTTTCAATAACTTTGGGCTACAAATTTGTTCAGTTAGTATATTCTTAGTGCCTTGATTATACTTAAATATATAAAACCGTCAATGTAGCTAACAGCCACACTATGAGTTATCCACGCTCAGCTATCAATGCTATGCTATACCAGTTCACTATATCAAACGCGTCTCCTCGAATTGGACTTGCCTTTTATTAAAGTATTTTTAAGATTCTTTTAGCTAATAGTTTTTTTGTCTTTAAATCAGATCATAGGCAAAAGGAACAAATTCAGTTTGATTAGCCAGGTCAGTGCATAACTACTATACTATACTAAAACAATAACTAAAATAAATTATACTTTATACTTATACTTTATAGAGTTTTAAATATTCTATTCTATTTCTACAAATTGTTTTCTCTGTGAGAGGTATGAGCGAAACCATGCCAATTCGGTAGATTTTACGCCAAGATAGCTAAGGACCTCAATTAATTTGCAGTGTTCAATACTATCAAACGCCCGGGACAAGTCCAAGAAAATGCCTACAACTTTTTCACCCCTATCAATAGATTCGATGATGGATTCAACGAACTCAATACCACCTGTTATTGATGATTTGTTTGGCCTGAAACCGTGTGGTTGGTTATCCAATAACATGTTTGATTCAAGATACTTTGACAGTTGATCAAAGACAACTTTCTCAAGAATTTTAGAAAAACTGGAAGGAGTGATACAGTCCTATAGCATATAACATATAACATCTTCTGGAACGCCTTTTTTTGAAGATTGGGATCACCCTGGCAGTTTTGAATTGTTCAGGGAATACACCTGTTGATAGAGATTGATTGATGGATGACTATATATGTGTGTTAAAGGTGTACAGATGAATAGCTATGCTGCCTTGATGATTGATATCGGAATTTCATCATTACCTGATGAAGGTTTATTTTGTTTTTTATATCTCTCTCCGAAACTGTAAAAAATTTAAATGTTGTATTAAACTGAGTCATAAAATGATTGTTTGCAGGAGACACTGTGGTAATTCTAGGAACTATAAGATTTTCTACAGCATTGACAAAAAAAGTATTAAAAGTTTCACAAATATTTACAGAACCTGTCAAAAATTTACCTTCATAAAACAATTTTATGTTTACATTTGACTTTGATAATTTACCTACTTCAGTATTTATTAAGTTTCAGGTAGTTTTCACCTATTTCTAGAGTTCATCATTTTTTCCTCAAAGTATGTTTTTTTATTGTTGATAATCTCTCTATAGTTCATTTTTCTTTTCCCTAATCTGTATCTTAATGTTATTGTCTTTAAGCATTCTGAATTAAAATTTTAAATCAACTATTTCAGATTGTTTTAATTTTAATACACCATTAACCCACTTCTTTGGTTTACAAAAATTTTCTATTACATAAAGTTTAGGATAATTTACCTCAAAGTAATACTTAAATACATCCGAAACAAAAAGTTTCAGTGAAACATATTTTCAAAGATTTAAAAATATTTACAGTTATCGGCTTATACATTTATGAAACAGTAAAATTTACATTACTCAACAATAAAATTTCAATTGGCAACACAACCCATTCGTATAACACAAGAGCTCATCGTTTAGTAGAACAACACAAATTTGATTATTTTAAAAATAAACTCACTTACATGGGCAATATATGTTTTCATAACCTCCCTCAAAATATTAAATCAGAGAGAAACCATAAAAGGTTGTTAAAATTACTTAAAGAATATCTAATTAAATCAGCTTTTTACTCTCTCCAAGACTTTATCTCATAGCAACTTTATTTTTCTTGAAAATATATGATTTTAGCGAATTTCCCATATAGGGAATAAGCTATTACCACAGTACTCATGGTAGGACCTGGACCCGGGACCGATTTAATTTTGAGTTCCCTAGAGGCCAAAAACACCATCCGTTCAAATTCATATATATATATATATGTGTGTGTGTGTGTGTGTGTGTGTGTCCGTTAGCGCGATAACTCGAGCAAAAATGATCCGATTTAGATGAAATTTGGTACAAACGTGTAAACCTACGTTTATTCGAACAAGTTCGCGATCCAGCATTATCGGAGCATGGGAACGGGGGTTTGGGGGGTTTTATGGGGTAAAAATGGGGTTTTCCCGTTTTTGACCCTAAAAACAAAAAATTTTGCAATTTCTTTTCAAACCGTTTTGTAGAGTTTAAAAAAAGAAATTATTTAGTATATTGAAGCGCTGTTGTATGCCTAACGGTGACGAAGAAAATTAAAAAATAGTGTAATTTAAAATTCTTATGTTATTCTTATGGAGAAAATGAAAATTGTTGTAGTTTACTTGTTTATGGACATATATTGATAAAATTTGGCAAATTTATTTACTTCATCCTATACTATTGACGTATGGTCAACAAACACTTTTACCTTCCCCGTAGCAGCAAACCTAAGCACTCGTGAAATCTAAAGTTATTTAATAGGGAATAAATATGTCTTATTTATAAAAATATTTTAGTAAAAATTTTATCAGACAAGTTGAAATTCGCTTAGTCTGCAGGTTTGCTGCAGCAGGGGTATTTTTCCTCTCTCTTTCTCTCTGTCTCTATCCTCTTGTAGTTTTTGTAACTAATGTTTATTTTGTATCTTAAACATAATTTTTTAAATATTATGTTATATTGTATTTTAAAACTTAATTTTTATTTAAATTTTACTATGTTTACTCTATATTTTATTTCAAGGTTTCTTTTATGTAAATATTGTAAATACTGTATGATGTGGGAAACTCAGTTATACATGTGACGTAGTATGAAACTATTTTATATTATTTTACCTTATGTTAAATAACCTGTTATATTTACCTTATGTGTGTGACTCTTATTTGTAAATGTTACAAGAAACAGAATAAAGATGATATTGAATTGAATAATATGAGCTGATGTCACCTCACCTGTCTGTCATGTTGGGAAGTCTGTCACTAAACAACACCACTTGCGACGTTGCCAATTCTACCAGGCTGCGGTCTGTAGTTAAAGGTGGCCGTGGTACAATGAGTGTTAAATTTTTTTTAGGTTTATGATTTGGCAATTTAAATGATTGCACAATATGTGTATTGACTGTTAGTAGGAGAAGTTAAATTCAGAAAAATTTTGTTTCAAAAAGGTCAAAGATTCTAGAATGTAAATGGATGGTTATTATGAATTACAACAGGATAAATTATTATAAATTAACATGGTAAGGTTGTAATGAAATAAATAATTTCATATTTTTAACTTAGCTAATTAATTTTAAAGGTGGGTAGTTTTCCAAGCGAGGTAAAAACTAAGCAGCCAGTAACAAACTATACATACAAAACTCAACCATTTTATTCTCCCCCCCCCCCCTGTCACAGAATTATGACTAAATAGCATTAATAAAAAGTAAAACGTCGGCAGGAGTTGATGAAACTTCTCCTAAAATGCTGAATAAATTTGGCGAATACGTATAGACCATTGTGCCAGCTAGTAAACCACTCCTTTTTTAGGGGACATTTCCATCAGCCCTGAAAGGGGCAGAGGTTGTACCGGTTTTTAACGAAATTTGAGATACATAATCAATGATTGGAACTCTTCCCTTAAGCTTTTTGTTATACTAACTTACTCGGTTTAGTTATTATTCCGCCAAAAAGTGAAGAAGAAGAACTAGAGTATCCATTTGAGAGAGAACAGAGAACGGAGAACGAGAACACCATGCTGCATGCACCATGTTGTTAGACTAGTCGTCTCGTTCAATGCCTAATGCCTATCTTGTCTCCACATTGGGTTATAACATTGTTCTTTAACTAATTAGATTAATTTTGTAAATAGGCTAGTCACCTCAGCGATGTCGAAGCGGCAATGCCCTTTCAACGACGACCAGTCGCGTCAGTTCAAACAATTCATAACGCAGAGAATGCAAAGCATTAACTCTGACCAAGCATACATGGAACAAATCTATAGTAAGTAAAACAAACCATTTCGTTTTTTTTATTACCATAATCATTCTTTAACAATGAAAATATTACTGTCAGTTTTAGGGGTGGACTTCCATCAGATTCTGTTGCCAAAAACAACCGAAACTGTTTCAACTCAATCATTCTAGGCTAGGCCTAGGACTGTCAAGAAATTGATATGCCTCCATTGTAAGGCATAAGCCTTGTTTGGTTCTCAATTCTAGGCCTATTCTATATGTATGATATGTAGGCCTAACTTAGAGAATTCAGGATGGCTGCAAAACAATGTTTTGCTACACTTATATCTTAAGGAATAATTAGGCCTATCACAGAATACCCTAAGTTATGGTGAGAGAGCCTAGGCAAAGTTGTAGGCTTGGCTAGGCGTAGGTTTAAGTCATCTGTTCTAGGCTACTAGTTCTACCATATTTAGACAGTCATACACTTGCGCTATGGCTAATGGAGCCTACAAAGCTTATCCTATTATGGGTAGACCTATGCATTGGTAGCCTACCAAGGTAGCCTACATACTAGTCTCAGCTAAGCACAACCTGCAACTGTGTTTTACATCCCGATGTAAGTTACCTGAACCTAAATTGTGATAGGCCTTTTACCTCTGTTGGTAATTATGTCGACTTCCAGTAAACGCTTTACCCTCCGAGTGTTAAGCGACTCGTAAACATCGTTTTTTGGTTAAGGCTATAGGACTGACTGAATCGGATTGAACTGGATCGAGATTGGTATTGTTGTTTTAGGCAGATTCTAAGCTTGCTCCTGACATCTGTTTCTAGATGCTTTTCATTTTAGTTCTGATCATATTGTAACAGACAGATGACGTGCATATTTGTAAGCAAGTTGGTTAACCCATTGCCCTGGAATGGCTGGCCTCAGCTGTTTCTGAGTCAGCTTGTCATTGTTTACGCAGTGCCGTGCCTCTCAGGTCGTACGGCCAGCACTACTGGCCATTGTAGTTTTTCTGTTAGGTTGGTCACCGTTTACGTCTAATATTTTTATATTTTATTGAAAACTAATGAAATTGAATAACAAGTGAAACTAAAATGAAAGGTTACTGCTTAAATTCATACGTATCAGGTAATAAAATATTTAATTTTAAAAATTGTCAAAAGAACTACTGTTGCTATGGAAACGATGTAGGATTTCCCTTTCCCTATGAAACTAGGCCTTGAACTAGTTCATTTCTTAGCCTATATCAACAGATTAATCTAAAAACCTTTTTTAGTCATTCTACAGTTACCTAATTAATAATATTTTATCCTGGTAAATGTAACCTCACATCACAGTTTCACATGACAATAACACACTGACAGTTGAGGTTATTTTACAGTGAAAATGGCGTAATATGGACCTGTGAGGTACTGCATCGTGTAAACATGAGAAGCTAATTGGAATGTCCGTGGTTTAATAATGAAGATGGAAGTAAATAACATTTTATGTAACATTTTAATGTAACATAACATTTTACAGTTAAAAATGCCGCGGCCGATATGGACGGGACTAACATGGGACTTAGTTACATCACGGGAGCTCTGAGGAAAAGCCGGGAAAATAGGAGCGTGGTCAGGCTGTGTTGTGATTGGTCGACCACAATTGCGGCGACATCATGAACACCACTCACGGTCGTGTAGATGTCATCATTGTCTCTCGCCATCGCGGCAAAATCATGAACATCTCCCGCGGCCGTGTAGACATCATTATGGAATCCCGCAGTCACAGAAATGTCTTCATCGTCGTCTGCAATTGCGGGAAAATCATGAATATCTCGTGTGGTCATGTACATGTCATCACCGTCTTCCGGTATCGCAGTAACGTCATCATCGTCGTCTGCCATTGCGGCAAAATTATCTTCCACGGCCGTGTAAACATCATCGTTGACTCCGTTAACGTGTAGATGTCATCATCGTCTCCCGCGATAGCGGCAATATCATGAACATCTCCAGCGGTACGGAAACGTCATCGTCGTCATCCGCGATCGTGGCAAAATCATTTCCCGCAGTCACGGAAATGTCATTGTCGTCTTGCGCGATGGCGGCAATAACTTATCGGTTATTTTTCGGCATTATCGGTGTAAACCATTTCAGGGGCTAATTTTAATAAACCGTGTACAAAATGTAGGCTACGTCTTGTGAATTATTCAGCTCAAGAGTGGTGTAGTATAGTGAAAAATATAATTCATTACATGGTCAAAAAGAATCATCTGAAGAGTGCTGAAATCCATTTTGTATGGCATAAGTTGTTTAGATGATATCTGCAAAGACCTTTAAGTGGAAAAAGAATATACATATAGACATGGTGTGGGGGGGGGGGGAGCTTAAGAAGTTCTGCTCCAGGTTGTAAAAAAAAACTCAAAAAACATATGTTTTAGAAAGGACACATTCACTTCTGTTCGAAGGGGCGAGGATAGCAGCGGCTGAAGCCCAGAAGATAAAAGATGGCATGGGATCTGCAACTGATGTACCTGATGAAGATATGTGTTGCGAAGATGAAGATAGTGAAGTTGGTAAGTAACTTGCAATGATTACATTCATAATTTTAAATTTACAAATTTTTGTTTTTTGTTTAACGTGCAACTTAACAAAATAACATAGGCCTAAATAGGTTCCCTTTGAATTTTACTGCAATCTAGTTAAGTGTACAAAAGTAGTTTTGCTTGAGTAGCCTACACATTTTGCCTTCTTAGTCTTCAGAACTTTTGCATGGATTGGCTAGATATGTTGTGTAAACAATTGATCTTGTTTGCTTTCTTTGTTAGATGTCTTTTATATAGGAATAGTTTAGTTGTCGTCATGTTTTTTTTGTCACTTTTGTTTAACCACAAGTTTATAGCTTATTTTACTTTTTCTGTTCTAATATGGAGTGGTTATCCTGGTTATTTTGTCAGGACTAATAATTTCAGATGTAAAAAGGGTCTAAGCCCGATTTTTATAATTGAGTCCAATTAGGCTTAATATAAATGTTGTAGCCTAAGTAGTATTTTAAACAAATGCAGTGAATATTTCAGTTTTAAAACAATTATAAGCAAAAATACATGTGACGGTGACTTATTAGGGTGTTCGGACCTAAATTCTTTAGTACATGTTTAGCAATTCCTGTAAATTCTGTCCTCCCCTAACCAAAGTCTATGTAATATGTTGGTTCTTTTACTGTAAAAACAGAAATAATAATGTGTTTCTAAATGTTGAACTATTGGTACCGGTAACATATTTCAAAAAATCTTTTGGATGCAGTAGATTTTTGGCTATCAGGGTGGAAGTACCCCTCTTGTTAGTTTCTTGTGTTTGTTCATTATTGTGTTATATTTCCTACAGCTCAAATAACCGAAGCTAGTGGGTCAGGCACCCAGGACCCGTCACCTCCTCAGACGGTACCCTCTGATCTCAACCAAAGACCCACCACACCACGTAAATATCCTTTAATATTTCTATACCGTTAATGTTTTAACATTGAGATACTTATATCATTTGATCTAAATTCTTATAATCTCTAATTTTCACAGTTGGCTTTCAATAATATGGTTCTCATAGCTGTAGAATGTCAGACAAAAATGCGAATCTCCAAAAAAATCGTACTAAATTAAACTACAGAAAACCAACATATGGAGCTTTATTGTGTAATACTTTTGGGTATTCAAATTAATCAGTTAGGTATTCTAAAGAAACCCTATTTAGGCCTAATTTAGTTTACTAACTTATATACTCTCAACTTTTATACCATGTTTCATCGGTCTGCATATATTTTCAAGTTTAACTTAAATTCAAAGGCCTATTATTTTATTTTGCAAGTTCACATACTAAACAAATTCAGGTACTGAAGATTGAGTGACATCAAAACCTTAAGAGCACAATGTTGTAATGCAGCATCGGATTTACGATTAATGAGTGTCAGATTATTGAGAGTTAACTGTTTATCCTAATCAGACAACACTTTAGGGAATGTAACATTAGTCAAACTTCAAAGTAACTACTGTTTGTTAGTTTTGTTGATAGTGTAATAACTGTGATTGGTAGCCCTATTACGTTGTGGTAGTATTATTTTATCTGGTTTTAGTGCTTTGCTTTTCCTGTATCTTTAAGTTTTATTAATGTGGGTATGCACAGACATTTGTTGTGTTAAAATCTTACTCTGGTAAAGGTCATGTTTTAACTATCATATTTAATAAAAGCCTGATAGCTTTTATAATTTACCCTCTAAAAAATCCGTAACTTAAAAAATTATGTTTTATTTTCATCTCACATTATTCTTATTGTAGCAATTGAATACTTAATACGATTAACTGGTGATGTATTAAATTGTAACTCAGTAGATCTTTGTGTTGAATTTTCAAACTGTTCAGTTTATTTTGTCCATGATTAGCTTTAACTATAACCTCAAGCTTTCATTCATGTAGACTTCATTTTACTAACGGATAAAAAAAACTTATTTAGGGACTTGAGAAAATTATAATCCTGGGATTAAAATACAAACATAAACAGCCTCAAAGCATAGGCTAATGTTGATATTTTGTCAAACGTATAACTTTTTCAGAGAGACACAAAAAACAATGTTCTTTAAAATTTGAACGTCAGTGATCAGATGGTACCAGTGGTTGCCGTTCAAAATGTTGTCTTGTCTGTCACTGCTCACATTGCTAGCATATTACATCTAACAATTTGTTGCTTGCAACGTGAAGGGACGCTACTTTGGCTTATAAGCGTCAAATTATTCTGCATTTAATTAGCTTACACATTTAAGCTAAGGTGAGGTTTAAACATAAATTGGGAAAGAAAGAGAAAGTGTTGAATTTCTGGAGTTGGCTGGGTTGGTCCCACCTTCCAAATAGTGCACTGTATTAGTCTTGTTAATACAGATTTTTTTTTCAACACAAATAATTACAACTACCTAGAGACACTTCTTAATGACAAAGACAGCTCATATGTTGGTATCCCTGTTTTCTTTCTGATCATATAATATGCATTTGTGATATGCAGAAAACCCCCTTGCTTTTCATAGGTTATTCTGCATACGCACATGGGAGCGTAGCTTTATAGCAAACCCGAATCTTTAAACTTATTCTACTTTATGCTATGAGCTGGGTAGCTGTTCAATAAGAGAATCAGATTGTGTTCATCAAATAGGATTTTAATTTGTCTAAAGTAATCAAGCTTTAATACAGTGACAGTTACTCTTAAGTATAGCCTACTAACAAATGCCTGGTAAGAACCGCTCTGGAGGTAGCTTGAATCTTAGATTTATAATCCCCAAAAACGAAGTGAAACTATTCCCTTGTAATCTAATCAAATCAAAGTATAAATCCCCAAAAGAATTCCTTCAAAACAAAACACAAAACCCCAACTAACTTACAGTCCCCTTAAATCAAAACTTCACGTACAAAACTCCCGACTACAGGGCCTAACCCCAAGATAGAGAAACCAGTACTCACCCAACTCTCCTGGGCACCTTGCCCCGGGCAACTGACCCCTTTCTCTACCTCAGGTGGCCTATTTATTGATCTGACAGCTACTGAGTGCAAAGCCCTCAGTGTTTACAAAACACCTCCAGCACGCTTCACAGTAAGCAAGGCCTGACCACAGGTCATCAACCTAGCTTGCCCAGGCTACCCTCCTTTACACATTGTTCTATAGATTAGATATCATAGAGGTTTAGTGTTATTGAGAATTTATTGTAAATGAGACTCAACAAGGTATTTTCACAAGTTCAAATAGAGTATATATTGTAGTTCTACGTTTTTTACTTTCTCCCCCTATACCATAGTAGCCTAAATGGAAAAAGTATTGTTTTCGTCAAAATTTTGGTTTTCGAAGTGATGCTCGTGTGTCTATGTGTGCGTGTGTGTGGATGTGTACAGAGCTATAGACTACACCTGTTGTCCGATTTTGATGAAATTTTGTATGTAGGGACTAATTCGCAATATCTCCAGGGGGTTTTTTATTTTTTTTTTTAATTTTGATTTTTAATGTTAATTTTCTTATAAAATAACAAAAAAAATAATGTTCTCAAAAATGACCAGAACGATTTTGATAAAAATTGAGAATGCTGCAGCCCTTTAAATTCTGAACAAAATGGTAGAACTCCCTTTTCTGTAAAATTTACGGTTCAGTTATTGTAAATTATGTTATTTTCCCAACTAAAAACCCCATAAAATAAAAAATAAAATAATATAAAAAAATAAACAAAAAAATAAAGTACCTATGTCAAAATCCATATAATTCTAAACAACATAGTGCTACCCCCATTGCTGTAAAAATTATGGTTCAAAATGTATTATAACTTATGTTATTCTTCCATAAAAACCCTTTAAAAAAACCGAATATGGATAAAAAAAACCCGATTCTGATTGAAACTCTTCTGTTATGGTCCTTCTAATTCCAAACAAAATAGTGCATCCCTTCATTTCTGTTAAATTACTGTTCAAAAGTTAATGAAACTTTTGTGATTTTACCTATTAAATATCTTAGTTACTCTCATCGCTTATCCATGATAAAGGTTGTTACAAGCTAATGGGAGAAAGTATGTGTCAGATTGCTGATACCGTTTATTTGTTTATCAAGTTACGATTTCCTTAAGTTTTTGACAATTCAATGGAGTAGTTGATTTTTTTAGGTACTGGATTCACACATGGTAAAATAATTTCAAACTCTTCTTGGCATAAAACCAATGATTTAATTTTTAATGTACCTACTATTCATACTCTTTGAGCTTTCGGAACCCTTACTTGTTGTGAACTTGTTGAGTCTAATCCACAATAAATTCCCAATAGCTCCAAAACTCATAGATAACCATGCTACAATGCATATTAGCTGATATGCAATGAAGTAAATAAAACAGGGATACCAACCTGTGAGCTTGTTTTGTCATTAAAAGTATCTTATGGTATATATAATTTGGGCTCTGTTTTTAAAATCGGCCTATATTTGTGATTTTCTTGCATATGCTTCAGCCGAAGATCGTGAAAAACTGTGGCAAATGTATCCTGATGTGCTCCAGCGCCCATCTACTTCACGTAATTTTTTTTGTTTTATATTTTATTTAAGTTATTTAGTTTGTCTATGTACTATACATATTCTGAGCTATCGAAACCCCCATGTTGAGTCTAGTCGACTTCTCCATTACTCCAAAACTCATAGATAACCATGCAACAAAGCTTATTAGCTGATTTGTAAAGAAGTAATACCAACCATATGAGCTTGTTTTGTCAGGGTGTCCAGTGACCAGGAAAACCAGAAAGAGCGGGAACTCTACGGGATTATTATGAGGTTGGGAATTAGAGTATACAAAATTTCTGTAATTATGATATTATTTCAGTAATGAGAGGAAATTTGTCTGGTTAATTTTTCATTCTAAATATTCAACAATTATTAAGAGTCAGATAGAACACGTGTGAAATTTTTCTCGAAACGGGAAAATTTATTAGCGTAAATAGCAAAACGCAGCATGTTTTGTTGTGTGAAGACGACAGGCTACAAACACCATTTCCTCGAAGCCATCGAGCCCAGAGCCAGGATTCGTGCTACTACATCAGAAGAACTTACGGTTTCCAAACGACGACACGACGTGTGAATACAACTTTTACCTCTATGTCTAGTGGCATCTAATGTCTATTGTCTTGACTTTCTTTGACAACTCAGACAAGCGATATTGTTTTTTTTTTTTTTTTTTTTTTGTCTAACTGTTGTACAATTGTACAAAACACAAAAATATTGAATATTGTTTACAGCGAAAATGACACAAATAGTGCAGACCATATTTAATCGTTTTTTAATCAATTAGGCATAGTCTTAACTCTTCTGCCAATCTCCAATTCACATGGTATGAAAATTCTGACTAAAGTAACACTTGATGCGACACGAGGGTGAGAGCTTTGACCTTGATCCAGCGCTTCTTTTTTAGCGCAGTTTTACAATAGGCAAACAAACGGCAAGACGGACGCCGAGTGTAAGAGTATCCCTGACGACCCTGCTTAAGTAAATATAATTTACAATGCAGCAAGCTTTTAATTTTAACACATTTCTAGATTCGTTTTAACTGAAATTCACTGGAAATTATTTTTTGGAATTTCAAACCCGGTCTTAAATCATTTTGATTAGTTGGGTTTTAGTATTCAAAATAATTGTAACATAGAATTTTACTCTTTGTTGTAACTGTAGATGTGAATGGTACAGTGTAAAGTTTGCTCCAAATTGACTTATTATTGTAAATAACTCATTAATTTGTGACGTCCATCAAAATGGTGCAACAAATCACCAGCTCACCCTTAACCCACAATTCCGTGAAACTCGCCCAACTCCCAAGTGCTTTGTAATATTATTTTTGATTCATTCAATGCCAATGACCAATCTAACATGCATTTAAATACCTTTGAACCCACGTCACTAACCCTTGAAAATTCTTTAACATACCTACATGTATAAACAGCGTTGTTTATGTCATTAAAATGGTATTTTACTAATTTCTCACATTATACAAGAGTTTGCTTGTACTGAACAGGATATAAAGATAGACAAAATGTTTAAATTGCTATAACTATCCACTAAGGTTGGCAAAAAGGTGTTATTGCTTAACAGTGTAGTTTTCTGTGGAATATGTGATGTAAAAAAAAAAAAAAAAATTATAGTAGACCCCTCTTAACCGACCTTGCATTAACCGATAATCGGACTATCCGCCCTTGATCGTAAAATATTACAGTTTGTTTTAACCAACCTTGCTTTGAGAGCAGTTTGGTTTAACCGCTGCTTTCTATGAATCTCGGCATTTCCGCTCCCACGCTCGGTGATGGGAACCATACGCTTATCTCCACAGGATGTGACTAAGAGAAACATTTTGTATGTATGCATATCCAAAAAAATATTCCATATTGACAGTCTGTCAACATTGTTTGTAGCGTGAGCACATTTGATTTGTTATCTGTGTGGTAAATTTATAAAATCGTAAAGTGCGTTACGATTTTTATAACTGAATATCTTATCGCTAGAGTAAACAAACAACGCAACTTGTAGGGATGGCAGGGGGGGTTAACGACTTCAAGGTCAAGATAGTTTTCGTGACTCGAGCCTCAAGCATCAATTAATATTACAGTACTAAAGTTATTAAAATAAGAAGTTTTATTGACCTTTGCCTACAACTATAATTTATTCCACTGAAAGTATTTGACGTAACCGTGTTTTGTGTTTTTTTGTGTGACTTTTCTATCAGTACAAAAAAATGAGATAAATTTAGTTTATTTTACAAATAGTGCAAGTACAACTTCAAAATATTGATTACACAATTTCAAATGAACAGCAAATTATGTTATGTTTTTAGGGATTGCCTGTTTTAACCGACCTTTTGAGTTATCCGACCTAGGTCCGGTCCCATTAGGGTCGGTTAAGAGGGAATCTACTGTATGTTGTTAATATTTAATTCAAATACCAGCATTGATAAATTAAAGTTTCCCGCGTCATGATCTGTTTTTGCGAGTAATGTTGACATAGTAAAACCTGGCAAGCCTGGTATATGCCGTTCACAGGGTTAACCACTACGTGCTATGGCACTAATAGCCACTACCGCAGCTCATAATTTCTCACTCACGGCCACCCTTCCCCAACGGCCACCTAACCGCTACCTCAGCTAGAGGCCTTACCTCTTCTGCCACATAGATGGGCTTGTTAGTGGTGATGTGCGCATGTTTTTAAACGGTTTTGCGATTTGCATGAGTGTTAGCACCCTTTTTGTTCGTATTGCATATAAAATATATTCAATATGATAAACTTTTGCTTAATTTACCCTTAAAAAATGCCTCGGGGAAAATGGAAGTTACTCAAGAAATATGCGGGAATTCGGCCGAGCCCATTTGCTGGACGCCCTGAAAAAGTATCTTACGGTATTTAAATTTGGGTTGTGTTTTTAAAAACACCCTGTATTTGCGATTTTCTTGCATATGATAATAATACAGCTGGAGAAGGAGGCAGGCTGTGGGACATTTACTATGAAATGCTCCAGGGCCCATCCACTTCAAGTAATTTTCTTTTTATATTTTTCAACCCTTCCCGGACGGGTGACGAATATATCCGCTTATGGTTTTTGATTTTCCGGACGGGAAGCGGATATATCCGCCTTCTCTTCAGACAGACTGGCAGGTGCTTGAGCAGTAACCAGATGTTTCACACTACCAAGGCGCCACTATCCTGCTCTCTCCATGGCTGCACTCTCCCCCGCACTCCCCCCTCTCACGCGCCTACCCTCTTCCGTTCCTCACCCTCTCCCCTCGCACCACCCACATCTCCTACGCTCCCCCTCGACGTTTCACGCTCATCACTACGTTGTCTTTATTTATTGTTAACATATTTTTCTTTATTTATTGCCTAACGTTGTCATGGTCATATCTTCAAAGACGGGTGGCGGATATATCCGCTGCTTTTCTACTCATCCGCGGATGGGTAGCAGATATAGCCGCATATTTAAAAACACGTAAATAAATATTTTTACAGAATGGAGTGTTCTATTGTGTTTATTTTATGTATACTTGTATAACAAAACACAAATAAGGAAAATTATTTTTTTCCCCTATATTGTTTCCCGTCCTATATCACGATTTCACCTGTCCGGGAAGGGTTAAGTTATTCAGAATGTCTATAGCTCCGAAATATCCCCATTCTCTTGGGAAAAAGTCCCTGGAACTTTAGTTGGGTCCTGGATGTCTCTCAAAACCCACATAATTTGAGAATGTAAGATTTTTGTTACATTTTAATGATATACAGGAAGTAATAAATTGTCAAAACCCCAGATAATGTAAATCTTGTTGAGAAGATGAGCAATGAGCATAGTAACTAAGATGAAATATACTCTAGTCCTAAGCAAATCTCTCTTATCCATATGGGGCCAAAGAGGTTGATTGAATTTTTAGTTAAGTTGAAAACAGTAATAGTTTGTAATGGCGTGGCCGTAGTCCTTTTCTCCCTGAGCCTCTTAATTACTAAGATTTTTACCTCATCTATACAAAATAGCCATGATAGGTAAATTGAATATTATGTGTTATTTTCTGTGAAATCAGGAAAAATTTCAAGATCTGCCACTGTCACATAAATATTTTATAATATGATCATGTTTTATTTTTACACTTAGGGCATCTCTGAAAATCGCTTGGTAAGGTCCTCAAAATCCCCACAAACCCCCTGTGGCAAGTTCTTTAGACCTCTTGTTAATTTAGTTCCTATTTGAGCTATAAACTTGTCAAATTGAAATTGCTTGAACTGTTTTAATCTGAAATCAACATTTAGCACTCTTCTAACCTTTCAACCCTTCCAAGGCTGGACTGTTATACTTTTTAATACCCTTTTAATCAGCCACATAATCTTTCCTAAAAATATGATTTTTATCAGTGCGATATACATTATTCTTATTATTAACTAAGGATGGTTCGGTTGTTGGTTTTACCGGGTTTTAACTAAAATCTTGGTTTATCGGTTGCTGTGTAATAACATTGGTCGATCCTGGCAATCGGTCAAGAGCGCATAAAAGGTTTGTATAGATGTTTGTTTATTCCCAACTAAAAATAGGCTTTACCAGTTTGTTTATTTCCTATAATTTATTACTAGAGTAATGATGCAATTACTACAATCCTATTGTAGTTGAGTTTGAGTACTCAAGGTCATAAAAGTTCTATTAGCCTACTTTGTATAGTTTGTCACTTTATTCGGTTCCTTTACTTATTCCTAGGGTGATTATGCAATCCCACACCCATTAAACATTTAATCATGGATAACTTAAAATAACAGATTTTCAGTCTTTCAATTTATTGTCACTTGTCACAAGAATTAGTGTTTGCATTTCTTAGGTTATGTACTTGGTCTCTAATCTGCAATTGAAATTTTTTACCTTTTTCTTATATTGTTGGTTAAAGATTCAAATTGTAAGTTTGGCTTTATATGCATTTTCTTCAGTTTGGAATCAAATTGTTATTCTTTATTTCTGGGTTTTAACTATTGGCACCTAAGTAATTTTACTAGTTGATTCAAACAGTTTATT